CTCGCGAGAGTTACGGTTTACAAACACGTGGCCTTATTCACACGAGACTTTACTGATACGTGACCAATTGCTTACGTCACGTATCAGTAAAGTCTCGTGTGAATAAGGTCACGTGCTTGTAAACTGTAACTCTCGCGAGATCACGTTGTGAAGTGATTGGTCATTAATTATCCTGATGAAGACGACAGTGGTCGCTGAAAATTTGATCCCTGTAAATAGTGTGTTGGAATAAAGTTTAACGTTTTACTATGATTACTACCAACACAGATGAACTTTCATGATTAATGATTTTCGTTTCAACAATAGAATTTTATGGGTTTATGTCAATCTGACGTCAATATGACGTACAATGACGTCATAATGACATCATATACGTCACTGTAACATAAAAATTGTAGTTATGATAAATTTTTACTAAGTACACCATTCTCAAAAAATTTGGTGATCATACGATATACCGTTCGCGAGTTCTGAGTGATGGCCGAATGAGCCCAAAAAAGCCCGGTTATTAAAAGTGTTTTTCTTATTTGTACTGGTATCTTTTCCGCCAGCCAAAATACCTGCTTGGAGATTAGATACAACAGTGACGGGGTGTCTTCTGCTTTCAGGTTGATCCCGATATTGTTCGCCGCGGTAGCCATGGCGCGGGTCCCTACAGAACAAGAACTGCAGCAGGCGGTCACCCAGGCAAGAGCAGAAATGGAGGCTGAAGCGGCCGCCAATGTAGTGTCCGGAGGTGAGCATATTTTTTTTCTATCATGTGCTAATGTAAACAATAGCCTGGGTTGTAACACTCCTGGCTAATCATTGGTTTACAGCAAAGTTGCAAAGATCTAGCTACATGCAGAAGTCCTGTTGGTGGAGAGAAGATGCCGGTGTACTCTTGCCAACCGTTTTGGAATCATATTTAAAGAGCGTCTAAAAGACACGTTTCTTTCTGGCTGGAGAGAACAACTTAGAAACACTAGTAAACTTCATACATATTCTAAAATCAAAAAGCATTTTGGCATGGGAGATTATCTCACATCAATTAATAATAAATCGTTCACAACTAGCATAACAAAATTGAGAATCAGCGCGCATTGTCTTCAATCGAAAAAGGTCGACACCACAACACACCAGCCACTCAGTGTCCCACAAGTGCACATGTAATGAGAATATTGAAGATGAATTTCACTCTGTTATGACATGTCCCACCTATAGAAAAGAAGGAGATACATTGTTACAGACTATTACTACTAAGACAAAGTTCACCCAATCTGGTAGACAGTACGATACATTCCATGAATTATTGTCATGTCCTACTACCATATCTGCTTACGTAGGTCAATTTCTGTACACCTTATTTCATAAGTGAGACCAACTCATCAATTCATGAACATATTGTGACTCATATACTGTATAGATAGTAGTTTGTAGTAAGAATTGTAATAAGATACTTTAGTTTTGTACTATTGTTGTATTACTGCCACACATTGTACCATGTACGATTGTCGAGCCATAAAGTTCATTCATTCATTCATTCAAACCTGTTTGTCTTGTCTATTCAGACACAGGCCCAATAAAGCAACAAGTAGCAAAGCTGACGAAATCATAACTGTATTCTCAGACTTAATATCTGTCAGTATCCTCATTATGATTTTGAGAGAAAAAAGTTATTCAAAGAAGTATCCAATATTTCCCCATATTTGACACATCTCAACAATCACCAAAAGACTATATTACTACTTAAGTCTCCCAACCGACTTATTTTTCAAAGAGTCGGACAATTCATCTCCCACTGCCTCCTGAGAAGAAGTCAAACCTCCTAACAACTTGGCTAGAATAGTATTTTAGTAGAATAGCAGTTACCATGTCTCCTATTTATGTGAAGCATATCCACTTTCTACCATGTATACCAACGTTATGCTAGTTTTTAAAGTAGATATAGTAAGTTCAATAAGCAGACCGTATAAGTAGAACTCCATGTTAGCATAATTATAGTCTTAAATTCACCACATTCTGTATTCATTGTTTTTTGTCAATGTTTGTTTGCAATTAGCCCTAGGGCACGAACTTGCAATAAAGAACTAATAAATATCTGAGACTGAGCTTACCCTGTGTGCCTTCCAGGTACTGAACCAGATGGAGCTGTGGACGCGCTGGCCAGGGTACATCGCTCCACCCCGATGGCCAAGGAGCTCGGCAAGTGTGCCACCGTCTTGGAGAAGGTGGCAAAACACTTCATGAGCAGGTGAGACATCATCACATGTACATGTAGTACATACTCTTTGATGATAGATACCTAAATACTAGATGCTAAATACTTAGATTTATGTAAATACTTTTATCTACGTTGTGCCTTTATCTAATAATACATCCACTATTCAACGCCTAATGTTGTTTTACTTATGTAGATCTATGTAACGCTTTTAATCTATTCTAGTACCTACGCAAGATGTCATCAACGAATGTAGATTTATGCAATGTTTTAAACCTATTTCGCCACCAACCCACCATTTATATCTTAATATTTTACTTACTTATGCTGTTATGATGTAATAGTTAGAAATATTGTAAACAGTCCATGTGCTTCAGCAATGGCTTCTGATTGGAGTCTGAGTGTGTGAAGTATGAAGTAAATAAATCCTCTTTTTTTTTCCTATTTTTCCATTCGTCTTTCAAAATAGCCTGGTTGCCAAATCTATTATAGCTCCCGATTCCTACATCCTCTCCGCAAATAGGACTCGGGAACTATAATAGGTTTGGTAACCAGGATACTTTCAACATGAATCTTCGATTTTTACTCCAATCGTAGAAGCTACACTTGGGGAGAGCTGATAAGATGGGACTCCCAGACCGTGACAGGTGTTTGTGACGCCACCTCCATGGAGCCTATCACGTGTCCTCCACCAGCCGTCCCAGAGTTCCGTTCGGCAAACGGCCGTTGTAACAACCGGCACAACCCCCTGTGGGGAAGTGCTGAGCAACCCTTCAAAAGGCTGACGGGACCACTCTACGACGACGGTAAACAAATGTTATCCTGACTACATCACGCCTTTAATAGCCCTTCAGCCCTTCCACTGGTCAGGCCCATAGTCTCGACTACATTTCGCTTCTAGCAGCCCTTCCACTGGTTAAGCCCCTAGTCTGACTACATCACGCCTTTAGCAGCCCTTCCACTGGTCAGGCCCCTAGTCTGACTACATCACGCTTCTAGCAGCCCTTCCACTGGTTAAGCCCCTAGTCTGACTACATCACGCTTCTAGCAGCCCTTCCACTGGTCAGGCCCCTAGTCTGACTACATCACGCTTCTAGCAGCCCTTCCATGGTTAAGCCCCTAGTCTGACTACATCACGCCTTTAGTAGCCATTCCACTGGTCAGGCCCCTAGCCTGACTACATCACGCTTCTAGCAGCCCTTCCACTGGTTAAGCCAGACTACATCACGCCTTTAGTAGCCCTTCCACTGGTCAGGCCTCTAGTCTGACTACATCACGCTTCTAGCAGACCTTCCACTGGTCAGGCCTCTAGTCTGACTACATCACGCTTCTAGCAGCCCTTCTCGAAGTTATCGAAACGATGCGTACTGTCTACGATATCCAGACCGTGTTTTATCTAGAACCGTGCTTTTCCAGAACAATGCGCAGACACAGTTCTGGATAGGCCATGAAAACGCGGAGACTTGATATCCAGAACCGTGCCTGATTCTAACTCTAATTAAGTAGGTTAAATACAAGTATTTACTCCTTGCTCTAACCGATTGAGGCATAGAACTAGATAGTTCTGGGTACAGCGGTCCTATATATACTCTTTTTTGGTCATATTTTGTCAGTTCTTATGACACCCCGAACCACTGGACGTGACGGCACCCCCCTCCCCAGCGCGCGGCTGGTCAGCAGGACCATGCAAGAGGACCTGCGGAAATCCAGCTACGTCAACACCCACATGGTCATGCAGTTCGGACAGTTCCTGGACCACGACATCACTCTCACGCCCAACTTCCAGGAAGAAGGTTCGTAAAAACATGAAATGCCATTTATCTTAATCCAGTGTTAACTGTTGGCTGGCCGTAAGCAGCGGGTTAGAAATATAAAATCACCTACCAGCGATTGCACAGACTACTTACAAGTTCATTTTTTACTACACAATATAACATGCGAGAAATGTAGATTATTGAGTTTTCGTAAGGCAAGACAAATATGTGTTGTCGGGTCTTTCTTTTAAGACACCCGCACTACAAGTTGTGTGTATCTACAACCGCTGACGTTTGCACAATAATGACTAAACCACATATGGCCTCCGTCAGGCAAAATTGACCATGGTAAAATTATAACTCGCATCAACCTACAGCTTCGGCTATGGCTAAACAATCCTGCACGAGAATGACTGCATGCATGGTTGGAAGTTGGTATCGTCCATCGTCCCGGTTGAAAGTTGCTCGGCCGAGATGTACAGTGCTTTCTTGTCTTCCATTGCATGCACCATGCACTATATTCAGAACTGCCGTCTCAAAACTCCGAATTAGTTGCCACAAGTTACACATCGAAACCGGTAGACATAACCGCACTCCCCTAGAACAACGAATATGTCGGTACTGTGATCTAGGAAGAATCGAAGATGAGAAACATTTTGTAACAGAATGTAAACTATACCACAAAGAGAGAGTAGATCTTTATAATCTGATACAATCTATGTTCCCCTTCTTTATACATCTATGCTGTACGGATAAATTTATATTTCTAATGAGCTTAGACGAACCTTCTATATTGAAACATATCTGTTCTTACATATTTGCCATTACTAAGAAACGAGAAGAAACCGAATTTACTTGATTGTAGCTACTCGACGATGTGTATGTGTAACGTTATCTATATCCCATCCTTTTTTGTGACCTGTACTTAACGCAGTGGGTATGTGTGTATGATAAAGGTCTACATTCATTCATATATTTCACATCATATGTCTGCTTTCCTCCGTGTATCTTCAGGTCTCCACTGTACCTGTGACTCCGATGACGAACGCTGTTTCAACATCGACATCCCCTTTGACGACCCTGACTTCCCAGGGAGGCGCTGTTTGCCGTTCGCTCGCTCCCGATCCTGTCCGAACGAATGGTGCCGCTTAGGCAAACGGCAGCAGCTGAACCAGCTCACCGCCTTCGTGGACGCCTCCAACGTCTACGGCTCCTCGGACGAAGAGATGGAGGCGCTCAGAGAGCACTCTGGTAGGTACACAAACTCACGTAAGGCCACAGCAAGTAAATTTTATGGATGACATCCTCCGCAGACTCCAAATCTAATGCTAGCGGGCGAAAAAAAACAAGGCGGGCCGAAAAAACAAGGTTCCTACATTTCAAAACTTTGACTCAATCATTGTACGAATGGTTTTCATTCAGTGGGAACATCACATATACACAGCCATCATCACATATCATTGCATCAAAGTAAGAAACAAAACATTAAATCAGAGCCTTTTCTTGTCTCCTCTCGTCATAGTTATCTGCCGTCCACCTCCCGGCATGGCAACAGACATCTTTGCCCATTTTCGGCATGTTGATCACTGTCAGAAGGCAACAAAATTTCTTTTTTTTTCCAAAATCAGGCGAAAATTAATGCGCTCGCTGATGTCATCCATTAAAATTACTTGCTGTGGCCTAATGGTAGGTCAAATTTCAAAGCCCGGGGCAGTTTACGGGAACGAAAAGTATGATATACAAAAAAACAACAACAACATCACCATTGTTTTTTCTTTGCCATACATTGTACCAGCTACAGTTGTTGAGCAATGAAGTTGATTGATTGATTGATTGATTGATTGATTGATTGTTTTACTTTGTAGGTCACCCATGGGAATTCACATGCATTTTAAGCCGTGTCTATACGAAATCACCCAAACCGCGATTCGGGTAACTCACATTCCTCACATCTGGTCCACGTGCCACACACACCTGTGAAACCGTGTCCGAACACAATACGCTTGAGCTACATTTATTGCTGTTTGATGATAACACGCAAGGTGGCGTGTTATTAATGTCAGAGGTCAACGATTGCTTGCTGATGCCCCCCTGCCGGCGTATCTCGGCCGAATGCCGACGTGGTCCCGCCAGAGGCGATGAAGCTCGCCCTAGAACGGACACATTATTTGCCCATTACTGCTCTTTAAGTTGCTGCCACGTAAAAGTTGGTATTGCATATAAAAAAAGAAATATCACCCCGTAATCCATGACCAGGCGAAGTTACATTGAAATCACAAACCGCCTTGGGTGATTCCGTATAGACACGACCTTAGACATCCATGTGACAATGACGATTCTATGGCCTTGTTCATATGAAACCACCCGCACCGCGATTCGGGTAACTCGCATTCCTCACATCTGGTCCACGCGCCATACATTCAAAATTTGGTATTGCAAATAAATAAAGAAATATCACCCCGTAATCCATGACCAGGTGACGTCACATTGAAATCACATTGCGCTTAGACGCAAATCGCGATGCGGAAAAACCGGTTCGAAACCACCTCTAGAAGTGGTTTGGAATCGAGGCGCTTTCAATGTGATTTGGAGCGTTCAGTTGGAGCCACTTGAAACTTCTTCTTGTCACTTGTGGCTTCGGGGTAAACCACATGTAAAGCGCCTTTACTGACCTCATACGAACAGGGCCTCAATCGATCCATTCCTTCAAATTAAGAATCAGTTCACACAATTTAGCAATAGAAAAAGGTCGGTATAGTAATATACCAGCTAACCAGAGACAATGTCCCTCGTGTCAAGAAAATGTGGAAGATGAATATCATTTCATAATGACCTGTCCTACATATAATTTAGATAGACAAAAATTAATGAAAATGATCACATGTAAAACTGGAAAACCTCTCCCAAAGACAAACATAGACATTTTCAATCTACTTATGTCATGCCCCGACTCCATATCTACGTAGGCCAATATATATGCAGTGCACTACAAAAGAGAGAAAGTATTGTAACAGATAGCAACGCCTAACTCACATCATGTCATACGCCGTTTACATTTATATCCCTGTAGTAATTCTTGTAGTCTCTTAGAATAGACTTGATTGTATTGATCACATTGTTATTGATGCCATACATTGTACCATGTACAACTGTCGAGCAATAAAGTTCATTCATTCATTCATTCATTCTACAGATGCAGTACACAGTTGGCAACAGATCGCCGGACAGCTGATGAAGTTCGTGTCGGTAGGTCGATCAGGTGTTTGGGCAGTGGATAATTATGACCGAATCTACTACAGAACTGGAACTTACCAGAACGAAGCCTCTCCGGGCACGGGCTGGGTGCGCATCGACGGCGAGCTGGAACAGATCTCATCAGGAAACAACATCGTGTGGGGAGTCAACAGAAATAACATCTGGATCCGGACAGGTCAGTCATTGTAAACTTGCACGTCTTGCTTGGTTCC